ATGCACGGCAGAGATTTTAACTGTTAGATTTTGTGGAGCGACTAGCGACTTTTGTGCAGCTTTAGAGTCGACACAGTGGTCAGTGTCGACTTTAGAGTCGACACACCCCTAACCCTACAACTACAATTGAAAATGTAGTCGATTTTTGTCTCTATAATATGATTATAAGTTAAAAACACAAAACACAAGTCAATATTCCTATATATGTTCCTATGGTTTGTTTTGTTTAAGTTGTGTAACACCAAAATACTATAGACTATTAAAATCGACGAGGAACATGTTGTGTTTACTGCCAAGCTGTTCTTCTTTCTTATCCTAGAGCAAGAGCATCAAAGTCAAAATAAGCACCAATATTTGTATCTTTGTTGACTTCACTCTGAAACAAACATCAGTGCCTTTCTAGAAAAGTCCGTAGAACCCTAACCCTGCAGCCTAGTGCTCATTCGCTACCTGTTAGCATGGCACTTGGGTGGCCAGAGTTCTTCTGTTGCTGCTGTTCGAAGCTGCCCCCTAAAAGACAAATCAAAGGTTGCTCAACACATGAATGAACAACTGCTTTCACAACATAACCTTTAATCTCAGTAGGATATAAATGATTACCTGATGCTTGTCTCTCAGGCTTCATCGTCAGCTGTAAGGAAACACATTACACTTTATGACGCTGAAGTTGGCTTCCGATTCAGAGCTTCCGATTCGACAGTTAAGGGGAAAGTTAAGGGAAATTTAATTTACAGCGCTGAGCGAACAATCCTCCGTGTTTGAACCTCTTAAATCGCTGCATAGCCGATTTATTTGGACTGGATTATCCCAGAGAGTCTAAAGATTCTTTATAACACAGTTTGAGATTTGTGAAACCTTAATTCTATTTGTGAAAATACAAAAAAAGGAAGATTTTGCTGCTTTTTCTACATCTAGACCACATAAGACCAGGTCCTGATCTAAAACCACTATACCTAGCAGAGTTCCCGTTAGAATATTTTTTTGCCGGTCAACATGTCCGTTAAAGTTGAAATCTTCCGGACAAAATTAGATAAGTGCCGGTTAAAGGTCTTCTTTGTTATTTATTGAGCTTTAAAACAAATTGATATGATTCGACATTAAACAAACTAATTATAGTAGATTAACTACATTATTCAAAAGTGTACAGTAATTTACAAAAACGCGGGAATAATAAACGGAGCGCTCTCTCCTTCTCCTGACAGCCCGTCAGTATCATGCAGCTCGCGGATCCAGTAATGAGTGACCCGACAGTAAAACTAAACATATCTATAACTAGTTTAGGTAGTTTGAGAGGTAATTAAAATAGCTACGTGTGATTTTCTAACCTGAAGTGTGTTTTGCTCTGCTCGCCGCTGCAGGGGATCATGCAGAGCTGCGTGTCGACTCGTCAGCAGCAGCCGATCTCTCTCTCCTGTCAGATTAGACTTTACTCGCATTTATGTCCATATCGATCAGATCTAGCTAGTTCTAGCTAATGATATGACTACCTGCTTGTTAAAAGACACCTAAACAATAAGCGTCGCTATGCAACCGGATGAGGCCACAAAGTATAGCGCAGCATTATGCATTTGTTTACATGCCCACCGGAACCCCGAGGCATTACCAACAGATCAACGCACAATCAACCCATACAGGACATCTCTTTCTCCACATTAAGTGTTAGACATTAGAATTGACAATTTTTGTCTGTCACATACTCTTTTGTCTGTCACATACTATTCTTGTCTGTCACATAAGTGGCGCAACTGATGCGGTATTGCGCTAAGGGAAAATTATTTTGACCGGACATTTTGACCGGAGAGATTTAGATTTGCCGGACTTCAGCATATTTTACCGGTCATTGTCCGGTAATTACCGGCTAACGGGAACTCTGATACCTAGACTCATCAAATTTGGACTGGATTATCCCAGAGAGGCTAAACATTCTTTATAACACAGTTTGAGATTTGTGAAACCTTAATTCTATTGAAAATACAAAAAAGTGAGATTTCAGTGCTTTTTTCGCATTGTCTTGTCTTCCCCTGTGCTCCATGTCTGTTCGTCGTCGTTTCTCGTCTATGATACCTGTTAGTCTCTTTGCACTCGTCCATGCTACCTGTCACGCTCCATGTTTGTTCCTGAGGTTTTTTGTCCTGATCCTTCCTCGCACTCCCCCGGTTTTGGTATGTTGAGTTGTTCCTTGTTTTCTTTTGAGAAATAAAGCTTGCTTTTTGTTACCTGACCTTTTAGTCCTTTTACTGCATTTGGGTCCTATTTTCCCCCAACCCTGACACTGAGTCTGCTTCAAATTCACTTATTATCCTCACAGGATCATTTTATTAAAGTTAAAGCAAAACTTACTAAAGCATTCTAACTGTTAATGCTTTAACAGCAATTCATAAATGATCCAGCTTTGCTTTTGGCTAACTGTTTTTGTTGTTCTGCTTTATGATTGTAATGCATGACTGTGCCAACATGTGTCTCCTCCTCCCTGCACCTGCTTTTCAGGAGACCAGGCCTTGCAATTATCTTCTTTCTGCCAGTGCATCAGTGGTAAGAGTCCATCACAAACTGCAGGGTCTGTCACCCAGCAGGAGCTAGGCTAACATGCTAACAGGCACAGAGCCGTAGAACACAACATACTCCAAAAGACAGATGATGTAGCTCACATCAGGGCACAGAGCTGCTGCAGCCTCACCTGACCCAGCAGCTCGTTGGCTAAAGCTATTGAATGTTGTGTCGGAAGCATCCTGAGGCCACAGTGGCTTCAGAACATGTATGTAGTCTATCTTAAAAAACATCTTGAATTTATTTGTAGAAAGTTAGTTTGTTATTTAACAGGTATGGAGACTTTTTTTAGTTTCATACATTTTCAAAAATACATTGTTAGAATTTCTAAAAAGTACTCTTATTCAAACCACTAAAATAATGTAAATGAAGCAAAAGGCTCCTGAAATGTGATGAGTCTAGGTCTAGTGGTTTTAGATCAGGACCTGGTCTTATGTGGTCTAGATGTAAAAAAAAAAGCATCAAAATCTTCCTTTTTTGTATTTTCACAAATAGAATTAAGGTTTCACAAATCTCAAACTGTGTTATAAAGAATCTTTAGACTCTCTGGGATAATCCAGTCCAAATAAATCGGCTATGCAGCGATTTAAGAGGTTCAAACACGGAGGATTGTTCGCTCAGCGCTGTAAATTAAATGTCTCTTAACTTTCCCCTTAACTGCCGAATCGGAAGCTCTGAATCGGAAGCCAACTTCAGCGTCGTTTACACTTTGTATAACTAACGGGAACATTTGTGATTAGGAGCCGCTAATAAAAACTCGCGAGCAGTTAATAATAATCATAATAATAAATTATATTTCTATAGCGCTTTTCTTGAATCCAAAGACGCAAATTTCAGTTGCATGCATTTAGTTAAAACTAGCTAGTCACTTTGAATGGCACATATTTAAACAATAATTAACACGTTATTTAGCCACTGTTGGAGTGTAGAGGTTACCTGGCTGTCGGGTGACACGGGGTGGCCTCGCCCTCCGAGCACCACCGTGAGAAGGAGAGCCAGAGCAGCGAGGATGAGCAGCAGCAGCCCCACGGTCACACACTGAGCCATGGCCGGGTGTCGCGTCTGTCTCCGCGGGGCGGGCTGGACCAGAGAGAGCGGCTGTAGCGCCCCCTCCCCTCCGCAGCAGCAGCAGCAGTAGCGCTCGGCCTCCATTTGCAGCTAAGTCTCCGGCTCCCATCCTGCATCTCTATTTATCAGCCTGCTGTCGCCCACGTTGAAAAGCTCTGCATTCGCAAGGAGTCTCGATTAAACCGAGTTTCAGTGAGTGTCACGACTCAAACATGAACTTCCTCTTCCTGCACTTTGTTTTCCGGACACTTCTCACGTTTCGACCTCAGCAGGCGACAGGGATTGTCAAGAACTTCTACACTCCCACCTGGTTTCAGAAGTTGGCCCATAATAGGAATGTATTGAGGTTTCTACTGTCCGGTATCACATGACATGACCCTGATACACCCCCTTGCTGTACATACTGAGATTTGTGATGTTCAGTGGGGGAGGGGCCAATGAGGGTAGGGTCATTCATCTCTACCAACACCTGTTGCTCTGGTTGGCCTTCGTTAAACACAATGTTGAGCTATCATCACATCAAACCCATTGAAGCGTTCTGCCCCTGCCTGCAGATCTAGTCTAGAAATATGCCTAAATAGATTTAAAAAACATAAACATTTCTGTCAATGTAACTTCCAATGTAGAATAACCTCATAATAAATTAGTTGCAGCTTTTTGACACACTATCATGTTGAAAAAGGAAATGCAAGATATTTTACATGTTGCGATTATTTGATTGAATAATATAATAATATTGGAACCTAAAAGCCTTAACCCTGGCTACCCTGGACCTTTATGACTGATGATCTAATGCATTTATTTCTTTATAACTATTTTTAATTTTGTAAATAAAAAATGATGACTTTATGATTCTCAAATTCACTTGAAATCTAGGCTAGTCCCCAAAACATTTTTTAAAACAAAAGAAAATACCCTTAGCTTAGCTTAGTTGTAGCCAGATAATTCAGAGTAATTGGGAAAAAAACAATTGGCCATATTCATAAGAAAAGTGTACACGATCGTTCATATCAGCAGTTTTAATGTTATAATAATTTCAGAACGTTATGGACTGGGGATGGAGATCATGAGCAGAGCCATATTTTATGTTGTTGCAGAAAAGAGAACGGCAGGTAGCCTGCAGCAGCACAAATGCTGTTTTGGATTTACATTCAATGTAGGCAGAATAATGAATATATTAATAATTTATGGTAAGTCGTTTTTATGTTTGAGCATCAATGTGCATATTTTTACACTTGAAGGCCGTTTTCACTTTCATCTGCTGAAGTTTCTCTCATTTCATCTCAGTTTAACATGTACCAGCAGGTTGTTCACTCAAGCAGAACAATGTATGTCTTCAAATAAACGTGTTAATTAAACGAAAGGTATGCAAGAAACAAAAAGACAACAGTTAAATCCATCTTTATTTGAGCTCTGATTTGGGTTATTATTTACATAATTGTATTCTTTGTTTTGAGTTCTGGTTGGTGCATTTTAGTCCCGCAGCTGCGTATATGGCAAAATCCACTGAGAATAAGAAATACAAATAAAAATAGAAAAAGCTGATGGTCGACTGCAGTGCCTGCCCTGGAGGGTGAAAGGTTGGGAGCTTGTTAAGTGACAGTGTACACACAGTATTCTACCTGTACAATAATAGTGCTACTATTCACAATCATCTGTACAATAATCATATTTACAGTGATCACATTAGGGAAAGAGCCAGTACCTGAGGAGTTAGTTCCAGAATTAGCTTTTCTCATTCATAAAATGAAGTGCACCCAACCAGTGGTATCCTAACAACACAGCAAACATTGGACCCAGGATCAGGTGTAAAGCTTTGAAAGCAACTTGCAATTTTAGGTGATGCAACTTGAGTTTAGTTGATCAAAACGATCAGTGGGCTGAGGAAATTTGACCTTGTGCAGGCTGGTTTCACTCCATAGCAACAGCATCAACACTAGAGTAGAGGTCTTTTTAATGTTCAGTCACAGAACCAAACCTCTACATAAATGTGAAACAATTTTCCAATCGTTTGTTTAACTTTCGCTGAGGAAGTCAGCAGAGCGCAGACTAGATTCCAAGTAGATTATGGTGGTTTATGCGGGCACAGTATGAGTCACTAGCTGTAGTAGTGGGAGTTTATAGACGGTAGTGGTAGTTCCTTCAAAAGAAACACTCCTCGTAGATACTTCAGGTGAGCTGGCACGCTTTAACAAAAGACAGGAACCTATAAACAATAAGTGAGGTCATTCAAATTCTTGTGCCAGCACCTTTCATCTTCCCCTATGATTCTCTCCAAAAACACACAAACTATACATGAAAACATATTGGCCAATTCAAATTACCGTTCGACAGCACATAAGATAAAACACCATGAATAAACACACCATACATGTGCAGCATTTCTCCCAAGAATGAAACGTCAACCAATAAATAAGAACAGAATAAAAAATTCATTAAATAACAATCATTGTCTCAGTTGAGGATCACTGTGCAAGTGATCCAGTTAAAACATAAACAGTCAAAAGTCAATTTTTAAAATATCTGAAATGTTAGGCTCCTGTTAGTCCTCTGACAAATGTGGGGATCATCGTTTCAGCCAACAGCTGTCTGCTTTGAGCCTGTCGTACGTCATACCAAAGTAATCTGCACAACAGTGCCCTCTGCAACTCAAACCAAACACTTTTCTCTTTGGACCCTTGTCATTGATCGCCCTTTCAACACAAAATCGTATCATAAAGGGAAAACTCTGCGTGTCTTTTCCATATCTTTGATCACATCTGCTTGATCTCACTGTGTAGTGAAGTGCTGCAGACCCGCAGCGAAACAACAAGCAGTCATTCATGAAGGAGCTTTGGATTTGGTACTTTCCAGCAGCTTTGTGTCATCGGTATATCTAAGCGGTCCGGTGTGGGGACGGATGGGTCAAGCCTTGTAGCAGTTGCCCTGCGTGGTGAGGGCCAGCTGGCCGTTGGGCACCACCTCGTTGGCCTCGTCTTCCAGTAAGCCGGACACGTCAGCGTTGGGGATGCTGTCGTGGTAGCTGCTGAAGCTGATGTTGTCCTCTTTCAGTTCAATGGTCCAGAATGGGGCATTGAGCTTGCGATTCTGGTACTCGCGGTAGGTGTACACGCCTCCGACGAAGCCCAGCAGCACCAGCACCACCAGAATGATGACAGCCAGGATGATGATGTTGAACTGCGTCCAGGACACGTCTGTCAGGGCGGCGGTGGTGTTGTCGGTGGGGGAGCTCAGGCTGGTCAGCAGCGCCTGGGTGGAGGCGGTGCTCAGCGCCGTGCTGCTGTTGCTGCCTGACGTGGACGCTGGGACGCCTTTTGATTGGGCAGAGGTCAAAGTGATGCTGGTGGTGGTTGTGGTGATGGTTGTGGAGGGGGAAGATGGACTGGATGTTGTGGCTTTATGTGCCGGTGTGGGAAGGAGCCGGGGGGCTGAGGAGAGAAAAGCATTGAAAACATTAGTGAACGTTTAAAGACTGGACTTCACAGCTTTGTTACATTTACAATCCTCAATGTCCGATGTAATGAAGATCTGTTATTAATGAAGAGAAATCTGAATGCTTTTCAGACTCAAGGTTGTTGATAACCAAAGTAACTAGTGACACCGTGTGGCGAAAACAAATAACTACCTCTTAGTGGAGATATTCCTGATATTATTTTGTATTATTTAAACCCTGGAGGCTAACGGCAGACTTTGTGGGACTTCATCCTGACATGACAGTGTTTCCCCTACCATTGTCTTGGAGGGGGGCCCCGCCAACGGAGCCCCGCACCCCCCTGAAATTCAAGGTGTTTAGAATATATATATATAGCACCAAATTGCAACTAATCTATCTACTGTCACTTTTCACATTGAACATGTGCTCTTTTATTAAATAAACTAAACACTTTCATTTGAAGTTGTGAGTGTAGTGTTTTTGACCCTAAGAAACACTGATGCATTCATCAATAACAATAATCCACAGCTCCTCTCTCAATGCTATTTTTGGTCGGGTCAAAGTGCTGTACATGTAATAAATACTACAATCACATAAAAACACATTACTACAATCACAATAAAAGACAATACCAGACCTAGGCTGCATACCAACACAATTAGGAACATGCTCACATCTTACTATGTTGGTCTGAAGAGCTGAAGCATTCATACACAATGGATACAAACTGTGTTGTCTCATTCTATATAGAATAGAATAGAATCATTTAATGTCATTATACAGGTACAATGAGAGAAAGAAATGCTTCTCCCTTTCAAAAGGTGCCATCAAAACAAAAAACATCACAACATAAGCCAACAAATACACGCAGCATACATACTTAGGAATAAGGAATAAAGTGCAGTAATTATTTCCAGGGGTATAAAAAATAAAATCTAAAATGTAATAAATAATAATAGTAGGTATGTATTTATAATAATGATAATGATATATGTATATATATACAGAGTCACATTTTTTTCACATGCAGGATGATTAAGAGGTATGACTTTCAGATGGCTCTTTGGAAAAAACTGTCTTTGAGTCTGTTTGTTTTGGACTTTATACACCTGTAGTGCCTCCGTAGAAGACTATATTTAAAAAAAGCTATTTAGCATTAAAAAAAATGAATACAAGAATTTACACCAAATTGAAATATACAAAAGAAACCAAAAAACTAAAACAAACTTAGTACACTGAATATATGATAATATTTGACAAAGTGTATTATATTATAATTTAAAGTGCAAGGCTGTGCAGAAATGTGTGCAGAAATGTGCAAACTATATTCAGAGAGATGAACATGGCTCAAAGTACAGCTGTGTGCAATTATTAGGAAATGTCTCTTTAACTAAGTGATTTATAAGCTGTGAACAAAAATGACTCCACTACTGTTTTATAACTGACAGTAATAGCAGTATATATAGAGAGCAGTAAGTAGAGATCCTTATTGAGGGTGTTGTGGCGGCTCTTACCTGGACGGGTGCAGTTGTGTGCTCCAGCGTCCCCGATGAAGCCCTCGGCACAGAGCTGGCACCGGGCCCCGCCTGTGTGGTTGATGCAGCGCAGGCATTGGCCGGTGTCGGGGTGACAGGGGGGGGGGTCCTGAGGGTCTGCATTGCCACTGCAGTCACATGGAACACACAGCCCAGCAGCTTTGAAGAAGCCGGCTGAACACTGGTCACACAGCGGGCCGCTGTACCGGGGGAGGCACTGCTCACACACTGGGGGGCTGCTGCCATCTGCACAGGGACACACAGGGACACACAGGGACACACAGAGACACACAGGGACACACAGGGACACACAGGGACACACAGGGACACACAGAGACACACAGAGACACACAGAGACACACAGGGACACACAGAGACACACGGGGACACACAGGGACACACATAGACACACAGGGACACAGGGACACACAGGGACACACATAGACACACAGAGACACACAGAGACACACAGGGACACAGGGACACACATAGACACACAGGGACACACAGAGACACACAGGGACACACAGAGACACACAGAGACACACGGGGACACACAGGGACACACATAGACACACAGGGACACACAGGGACACACAGAGACACACAGAGACACACAGAGACACACAGGGACACACATAGACACACAGGGACACACAGAGACACACAGGGACACACAGAGACACACAGGGACACACATAGACACACAGGGACACACAGAGACACACATAGACACACAGGGACACACAGAGACACACAGGGACACACAGGGACACACAGGGACACACAGGGACACACATAGACACACAGGGACACACAGAGACACACATAGACACACAGGGACACACAGGGACACACAGGGACACACAGGGACACACAGAGACACACAGGGACACACAGGGACACACAGGGACACACATAGAGACACACAGGGACACACATCAGTGCCACACTAATGATGTCGCTACAACAGAGGCTAAATAAGTGTTTTCAGCCTTGACACCAGCATGGGCTGCAGTTATTAAAGAGTATTAATGTTGTGGAAAACCGTTTGATTTGAAAATACTTTTTTAAAGACAAAATCATAAAATATATCATGCCGTCATAACATCTTATTCTTAAACATGATTGATCGTGACCAAAGTAATTCACAATAGCAATATTATATATATATATATTATAGAGAGAGAGAAAAGGAGAGATACATATGTAGAGTCTGTAACCATAACTGTAAAACTTTGTTCAAAAAAGGATTTGACTGACGATCTGTGAGATGCTTATTTACACAAGATTATTACATTTCATTTCATTTGTTCCATATAGGTTAATAACAATGCCGATTTATTACTACACCCCGACCCAGTTGTACACCCTTTTTTCTTTATTATTCATCAACATGTATGAACCCCAACCGGTTAATATCACAAACATGTCTGTGGAATAATTGATTTGATTAACCTTTTTTGTCAAATGTATTTGAAATGTCCAATGCGTATGCTTGTCTCTTCAATGCGTCCATCCCAAATGAAAGAGCTCACGCTGCACCACTAGGTGTCTCCAGATGACAGGATATTGATCTGGGAGGCGGAATGGGTTATTCTGATCAACTTAAATCATATAATGGAACATTATATGAGACAGAAAGGTAGTAGAGGCTCAGAAGGAGGGAGGGCATTGCTTTGGCATTGTGGATGGTGAGATCTAGCTTTCCGTTGTGTTATCAATAATGAAGCTAGATTTGGTTAGTTTAGAGCTGTGGAATATGAAATCACCCATCTTTCCTCAATACATTCTAGCTTTTCTTACCCTCAGATGTGCATTAACTACAGGTTATTCATTTATTTTAAAAATATAAAATCACTGTTACTTTTCTAATACATGGAATTAGTACTCAAGGCTCAGAAAGGTTTCATGAGTAGCACCAAACACCACAGATAATAACATCTTTAAGTAAAGGGGAGTTTTTAAATGCTCAGATGGAGTTGGAATTAATCCAAATTCATTATGATCTTACCTTAAAGACACTTATTGATTTAATATGTAGCTCCTCCGATTTTGAACTAAATATTGGTACACCTGAAGCAACTGTATACATCTATAAATGATACGTTTAAGTACAGTTGTATGAAGGCCTCCATCCAGAATAGCCCAGATGTCCCCAGCCATGCCATCCAGCTCCTCCTGGGGATCTCACGGTGTCCCAGGCAGATGGGAAATACAACCCCCCCCAATCTGAGGCCTGCCCTAGGGTCCTCTGCACAGGGACATACCCATAATATGAGGTGCTCAGGAAGTCGGAACTAGATCAACTCCTTAATACAAAGAAGCAGTGAATGGATGATGTTGAGGGTTAAAGCACATGGTAAGGTCTCTGCTTGGAAAGGGTTTCCAGTCAAGCAGCAAGACTTTTATAGGCCTTTATGATAGGGTGCCATGCCTGGAGAGGAGCTGGGCCGGGGTTATCCCTCAACGAAAAGGTGGGGCTGCCTCAGATGGGCTAACCCACCACCAAAAACAACAATGAAGACTGAACCATGGCTAAGGAAAGTTACATTATTCTGATATGTAAAAACTGATATACATATAAACACTATCCTCCTATGCAGCCGGTGCTCTTCATCAGACGCCCGTCCTCACCACACTGCAGCTCTCAGTGTTGAATGATTTAGACACAGATAACTGCCTTTCAATGGCCTAGATGTTGGACTCTCTCTAGTGGGGTCACGTGATTACGTTGTACTCCAGCCCTGTGCAGGCTGCTCCTGATAAGCTTGATTTAACCTCTGCTGAGGTTCAAAGGCAGCGGCCTGCTGGGTTATATAACCAGGAGGAAACATGAGCTGCTCTCAGACCTGCTGCTGTCCCATGCTCCTCCTCTCTGCTGCCATACACTGACTGACTCACACAAGAAGTGGAAACATTAAAGATTGAAAGACAAATTAAATGAACACAAATATTTGATGAACCTCAGGCTAAACCGGATGAGCCCAGCCATTCCGGAATCACTGAGTAAAGATGTAATCATACATGGATGATTGCATATGTGTGACCCACATTCTGAACCGGTGCAATGCTCCATTTCACCTCTCTGTGTGTCAGTGTGGAGGCTTATTAATGTACTGCAACAGGCCTCATCAGCACATTAAGAAAGCAACTATCCTCCCTGAGACATGGTACTGCATTGTGGCATCAGCCCATTTGTCACCGTTGCCAGGGCGACATCTACTTGGAGGTTTGGTCTGAACATCCTCTGCGGCCACACACAGAGAGCAGCTCTCGTACTGAGCACATGTGATCATGTCCTCTGTAGCGCAGCTCTTCCACCGTGTTTCTGTCCAAACAGACTGTGGTGCTGCCCCTCCCCCCTCTGTTGCTGCCTGGCTAGCGCTGAAATGGGCCAGCTGTGCTCGTGCTGTCCCAGCTCAGCTCAGCTCAGCCTGGTTTGTGTCCCTTCCCCTCCCTCCCACGTTGCACAAACCTCCTCCGCGGCCCCTGGTATGGGCAAACAGAACCTGACAACCTAAGTGCATCTATACGTGTTGCCACGCAGACTACTACCAATGAAGCGTCAGGACATGGCAGCGCCGTCAGCAATTGGTCCAGAAAGGGGAATGGCAAGGTGCGATGACATGATGAAGAATAACTGAGTGAAGTGATGCAATGCTGAATGAAAGTCTCAAATGTCCGTTTGGAGAACGGGTACAAGAGCAGTCTGATGGGGATCATTTGTGAACTGGCGTAACATGGCTCCTCATGGCCTTACTGTTACACTTTGAAGGACTCTGAATTGGAGGTTAAGTTATACAATATCCATTTGATGTCCAGTCTGCTAGCAAAACAGAATGAAAAGGTCTAGTGCTGAAACAATGAATCCGTTAAGCAACTCGTCAATCAACAGAAATGTCATTTTCTGAATAACTAATTTGTTAATCAAAAAATGTCAAACATTGAATACATTTTAAATCTGAGTATTTGCTGCTTTCTCCTTTTTATACCATCGCAAATGTAACATCATTGGGTTTCTGACAGTTTGACTGGTAATCTGATGACATCACTTTGTCACATTAATCAAGGAAATATTCCCAGAATGAATGGATAGTAAAAAATGATTGTCAGTTGCAGCTTTAGCTATGAATATCTTAAGGTTTTTGTCACAACATTCATTCTGATGAATTGAGCTCTTAAAAAAATTAATGGGAATATGTATTTTATATTTGATAGACTTGTCCATTATCTCTAATACCAAAAACAAGTTGAAGGAATGATTATGAAAATAGCGTGGCCCATTTTAAACAGAAGTAATCAGAAATCTTAATGAACTGAACTGGGTTACTCTATAGTTCTGCCGCTGACATGAACACACTGAAACAGGTTAGCTGATAACTAGGTTATCTTTGACTGTAGGAACACGATTGTTGTGTAGATCTGAACTGAGATGTGGGCGGAACATACACCAGTTTAAAGAAATAACTGGTGAGACTTCCTGACACCTGTTCAGTAAGTAAGTTGTTTCCAGGTGGGCTCTTCACACACAGCTGGTGGAAGTGGAGGCAGCATCGGGGCCAAAAACACAGATTAGAAGTGAAAACAAGGCACTAGCTGCAGGGCTCCGGCTCACACCCAGCTCTTCCGTTGACACGATAAACACACGAGATCATTCACCTCAACAACCGTGATAACAGAGAGCTTCTACCATTGGTGGATGATAGATGTGGCTCCAAGCAGCCTAGGGGCCCGAGCCTGGAGCTCTGCAGCTATTGGAGGAATTCTTCTCTGGTAAATTCTCTGCCTGTTGTGACATGCCAGTGGCAGGCTGACATGACTTTTGGTACCTAAGCATTAAGGTGTACCAGTTAGGCATTTCACAATGACATTTAAGGCCGAACAAAGGCTGGTTAAGGAATATGAAGTGACTGTAGTTCAACCCAGATCTAAACCCACCAGAGACTTTTGGGTGTGTTGTAATTAGAGCAGCGGCAGCCTGGAGGTGAAGGAAGTGGGGCCATACAGGACCTTCACTGTAAATCCCACTGTCTCGAAATAGAGATTAAAAGAACTCTAGTTTACAGTCTCAACTCATTTGAAATACTCCATCCTTTTACCTAGCAACCAACGCTACTTTTCTCATCTCGCTGAGCTAACAACTTTTTAACCACTGTTTTCCTGATTGAAACAAACACTAGTGGAGCAAAAAGAAACACAAGCACCTAGCAGCTGAGTGAGAGGTGTTAGCTGATCATCTACATCCAGGGTCCCGGCCCGGAGCACCCCCTCAGTCTGCTCCTGAGGGTGGTTAGGCTCTGCCACTAGCCTCTCAGTTAGCTGGTTGTGTAAAGGCAACATGAGCGCGGATTAAACACGCCAGCTAACACTGACCCGGGGAATGTGAAATAAAAACGGATCTCCCTAGGTTAGTAGAGTTTAGATTTGTGTGTTGCACGTTTATTATCTCTGGTTAGGATACAAATATTGACTATTTGCAAGTTAAGAAGTTTCTGTAATATGGCCTCTGGAATTTAAGAACATTATTTGGTGAATTAATAAAAACACAGCAAATATGCAATGATTGATGTGGGGGGAGCAGTGTGTAGAGACTAGGGCTGTGCAATTAATCGTATTTTAATCGCAATTACGATTTTGGCCTGACACAATTACGAAAACAACATAATCGAAAAAAACAATTATTTAGCTTTGCTAGGTTGTGACAGTGCACTGCAACATATTTGATCTCATTTATTTTGGTCTAATTTATTTTTTATTTATCATATTTATATATGTTTAGTAGCTTGTGGAAGTGCGCTCCAAAATATTTGTTGATCTTGTTTATTGGTATTTATTATTTTTACATTATTTATTTAAATGTAAATATTTCATTTATTTTTGTATTGGTTTTTCAGTTGAATTATACGTTCAGGGTAATCAACAGTTAAAAAGATACTGTTCAAATTATTATTTGTATTTGTTTTAAAGTTCAATAAATGGAAGTCAATGAATAATCGTATTTAATAATCGTGATATCAATTATTGACCAAAATAATCGCACAGCCCTAGTAGAGACCAAACCCTGGGCATCACTAGTGCACATTGCACAGTCCAGCCGGGACCTGTCTGCTGGTTTGAAAGGCAGACCACAGAAATGTCAGTCAGCTGGGTTGGCTGTGGATCTGAGGCAGATGTGTGAATGCATCTTTCTTCACGACTAAATGAACAGAGACTGGAACTAATGTCTGAAACACCATGCCACTCGAGATGTTTTGATTCATGAACTATTCATGTGAATGGTTCTTAAAAGTGGAATTTGAATTCAGTTGTGTTCACTGTATGTGTTGGACTGAGTGGGTGAGACTGGAATGTCCCTTTTAAACCATAACTGGCAAACTCGTTGGACTATATGTCTTTGAACTTTAACAAAAAAAAGCTCAACATTATATCACTTAGAATATTAGTATTTGCTTCCTGATAAGAAGATAGTATAAACATTCATTTTCCCTCATACAGGGGGTTATGTAACTTCCTGTAGTCTCGAATTTCAGAATTTCCAACTATGTGTCTGATGTAATGCTTTTAAGTTCACTTAACCCAGGTACATTTTATTTGTGGGAAACTATGCTCACATCCAGCTCTCTGGAAACACGGTAACTTTGGCAATCAAAGATGTCACTACTTTTTCTTCTAAATCAGACTTACACATCGAAACAAATAGTAAATGGTACATAGTAACGGTCGAAGAAAAGCAGTAGAGAGCCCGGGGGGGAACCATCCTTTGCTCAGATTGTCCTCTCAGGCCATCGGAGACAGAAAATGCGTGGCAAACACACATAATGATACCTACACTAGTGGGGTACGCATAGGTTATGTCATAGAACAACATGTGAAAACTTCTCCCGCTTGTGTTACCACAGACCCTTTTTGAGGAGTTGAGGGAACTGAAAGTGGTGGAATGCAGACTCATTTCTGAATGATACTCATTTCTGCACCACTCTACCAGACTTCCACATAAAATGTACTGAATGTTACCTTAAAGACAATTATTAAACCAGCAAGCCACTGTACTTACATATTGCAGCATACTTATACTACTTCAGATATATTTTACTTGTATTTCAAGCTACTGTACACATTGTTTTATTGTATAGTACACTATGTTTTTATGTTCAGTAGAATGGTATATTAGAGAGTATTCAATTGTATTCTATATACTATATTGTATAATGTTTAGATACTCCTCTGAATATATATAGTGTGTGTGTGTGTGTGTGTGTGTGTGTGTGTGTGTGTGTGTGTGTGTGTGTGTGTGTGTGTGTGTGAGCCGCAGCACTGACCGGGTTGACAGGTGCCGGTGGAGGTGGAGTTGGAGCAGGGACAGGGTGCACAGGCCTGGGGGGGGTCAGCCCCCGGGCTGCGGTAGAACCCGGGCTTACACTCCTCACAGTTGGATCCCTGGGTGTTGCCCTCGCAGTTCAGGCACACTCCTGCAGGACAGAACAAGGATCACATGATTAAAGGATACAGCAGATTGCCTCTATATTTTGTGTGGCAATATCAGAACAATACAGAGACACAGAAGTATCAAGCTCTTGTATATAAATTATTAATATTGCAAATAGAAATTCAAATGTTGGTAACAACCATTTTTTGTCTAAGATTGTGCTGATTTTTTTCAGGTGATTCTCAAACAATAGGGGATATTTCCTGGATCTGCACAAAATGTGAGATAAGTTGGCTATATGAGCATTTCACTTTATAAGGGTTGACAATGCATAATCATTCCATTAGATTGGTGTGTCATTTCAGAGGAAAATCATACTGAGTGGAACGGATCAGGTTTTTAAACAAGGCTAACTCCTTATCAAAAAGCTCAGTATATTCGATTTATTTATTCCTCATGATTCTTCAAATATTCTTAGAATTGTAACGTTTTACTTCTCAAGAGCAAAGAATTAAGCAAAGAGGGAAGACAAACACACAACACTGCCAGTCACACAAACACAGACATTTATTTTAGAAACCTGTCCTTGCTCTCTTATTTTTAGTGTATATCTAAGAGAATATTGAGATGGAGGAGAAGGGATTTCATCAGTCTGTGTGCACGTTTAACCCCAGTGTGCACACAGACTGAAATAAGATATTACAGCGTTATGTTACCTGAGAGTTGAACCATGGGGCAAAAAAGGGTCTGCAAATCAATCCTTATGAAACCTAATCCTGACACGTTTGCACAGCCATGTTTTGCCTTGCATTACTGACTTGTGATATATTTTATCGTTATATTTTTTAACATATAACAACAAATTCATGATTGTTTGTTGTCCTGGCTACCCATTAAAATCAGTTAATACTGATTATTACACATTAGAAATGTAGGAGGAAAAGAAAAGAGACAAGATGAGAAAGAAGATAGAATATTGTGCTATTTTATCACATCAAGTTGTTCTGTTGCAGTGGGGGGGGAAGAGCGAGAATACGAATATATATGATATAAATACATAACTAAAAAAGTAGAAAATAAATAAACCACTCATCTCTCATATATAGGATAGGGTCTTACACGTGAAGCCGTTCAGCGTTATTAATGAACATTCATAAATCTTGCCCATCTTTAGGTCCTATCCACACAGTCAATTTAAATTCCATAGACTGAATGACTCATTGTCGTATTTTTCCAACAACACAGTAATTAAATGTTGATGTAAATATTTGTGAAGGGGTTTTCACTACAATGCTGTTTGCAGTGGAGCTTGTGCCTGTGGTGGAGTTGTTGTGCCTCCATAGATAGGACCTAACCTGCAGGATGCTTCGCTTGCTTTATCTGAGTAACACTGGTTCAACCCATGCATTAACCCAGTGTCAACAGAGGAGCTGCTAATAGGCTCATTTAGCTGCTGGAGGCTCTGAGTCTGCAGCAGACTCCATTACTGCTTAAAGTGTTGTTAAAGAGGGCTTTGGGTTGGGTCTGGAGAAAGGTGCTTTCCTACACCAAGTGATGAGTAATAACAGCTTTTAACATACTGCTGTTGATGTGAAATGATGGGTTCTGATTGGGTGAACTTAGACCAAGTGGAAGTTGGTCTATGCTTTTATTCTTCACTGAGGGATTCCTTTGACCTTACTGTGCACCTGCCACACTATCTGCTCTTCCCATAATATCTCTAAACATGTGTGCATTCAAGGTTCAGAGGTGAGTATTACATAACTTTAAAATTGGAAAAACTTGTGTTCCTGTAGAAAAAATAAACTAAAAATCTTTATTTTTCTCCGCATTCTTTTTCACAGCATGTCAATCTGATTCAGCTGAAAACAAAAGGTCAGTGTGGGGGCTACGTGTCTCTGTCCTGTTGGAAGTGACGGGTCCCTGTCATGTTTATCTAAGGGCCCCCTGTTTGGGAGACTGTACAATAAGCATTTGCACAATGTGCTCCTCAGTAAGTGGGGAGAGCAGGGTGAGTCTTTAAGGAGGAGCTTTAGAACCTGAGCTTTGTTAATCCACAGTACACTGAGCCCAGATACAGCCCTCCATCTGCCTGTCACTAGCTGGGGTCTAGTTTCCTGACCACGGATACCCCTTTCACACCGGCGCTTTTCCAGCTCCTGCTGGGAGCCTGAGCCTGAAAAGCGCCGGTTTTTCCTGTTCACACCGCAGCGGCGGCGCGTCATAGCTCCGGAATGGGGTTCACTTCCAGCTCCAAAAAATTGTCGGTCCAGAGGCAAGAGCTTCGGAGCTATGACGCGGCGTCGCTTACGTCTCTTACGTCGAGGCGTGCAGGAAACCTTACTTTGACCATCCGTTCTCTGTTATTGATCATTGTGGAGATACATGGGCTATACAGGTTGTCATGTCCGACTATCACAAGTAGAATCATAATGAAAAATACGCCGGTAAAATGTGCCTGTAGAAAACGGCTTAGCAAGTAGTCAGTTTAGCTTCGGTTGCTATGCTAACATCACCCATGTTATACCAGAGAAACTTTCATAACAGCGTTGTGATGCCAAACAGCGTCAATTCAGACTGACACACATTCACTTAAGGGGAACTGGGGATATGTATCAGCTGCTTGTGTGACAGTCAGACAGTGAATACTTTAGAGCCGTGTGAGCTAACCCGGAGCTAACGGGACAATAAACTCCCGTGGAAGTGCAGCCACTGCAGCGGTCGGTAAATGCCGCTGAAACACATTAATAAACAATGAACCACGGCACTCTGGAGAAAAGTATAAGGTTGGAGAAGTCGTTATTTAATTTAATCTGGCTTCGTATGATTAAAAGCAACACGACCCGATGCAGTCCCCGGCCCGTTGTTGTTGTGGGAGAAAATCAGCGACGTAAACTGTGACGTCATGACGCAGCAGCGGCAGCTCTGGGCAGTGTGAACAGAGCGGGAGCTGAAAAGGGAAACGGGAGCTGAACCAGAAAAGCTCTCGCGAGGAGCTAGAAAGTGAAAAGCGCCGGTGTGAAAGCCGCATGAGAGGTGGCAGCAATCCTCCTTCACATGTGATTGGGGAGAGGAGGACTACCTTAAATCACAATGGAAACTGGGTTTCTGGTTCCTCTGTAAATATTTACTTCAGACACACTGGGGGGTTTGTGTACTTTGTGTTGGTGTCTATCTTCAGCATATAGTACCCAGGTGCTAACTTACACAAAGCTAATGGCTTAAAGTTATTAGGAACTTCATGAGCATCATATTGGCAAACATTGGGCTGTTAAGCTTCAGAGTTCTAACTCAAAATGCTCATGCAAAGGAACCACATAAAACGTGCATGTCATTGTCTTTGGTTTCAGAGAGGAGATATGGAGACATCACAAAGCTGATGGTGATTGAATAATGATACATTAGATGAATGTCACTAAAGACAGTCTAACAAAAAGATGCTGACATTATTTTCGACTATAGGATAATTCTATCTCATTAATATACTTGATGGCAGTTTAATCTATAACAAAGCATATCATTGTATAACGTTATCACCTGTTTCCACAGGTGGGAAGGAACTAAGTACATTTACTGAAGTACTGTACTTTAGTAAAATGTTGAGATACTTGTACTTTACTTGAGTATTTATATTTCATTATACTTTGTAATTCTACTCCACTACCTTTCAGAGGTACATGGTGTACTTTGACTCCACTACATGTATTTAATACCTTTAGTTACTTCACAGATGTGGATGAATGATGTGAAATATAACCAAGTGTTAAATCAGACTTTAGTTCCACCTGGAGTAAATCCACAAGCTACCCTGCAGTATACAAAGTCATTCAAACTAGCTGCACCTTTACCAGCTTTGAGAACACTTTCATGATCAATCATTATAAAACATATCATATATATTATTCTGAAATGGACCAATCTGCACAATGACTACTTTTACTTTTGGTACTTTCACTATATTTTGATGATAATACTTTTCTACTTTTACTTGAGGAACATTTTGAATGCAGGACTTTTACTGTAACAGAGTATTTATACCCTCCGGTACTTCTAGTTTTACTCAAGTACCAGATCTGAGTACTTCTCTTCTTCTATTTTATAACAATCAGTGCTGAATTGCTGGATTTTGAATTATTGCACAAAATAAAGAGGGACCTGGAAGTGGTAAAATGCTAACTCATTTCCGGGTTCTAAGACTCATTCCTGGCCCACTCTGTTGTGCATCAGTCTAACAGTAACACATGGACTCACCCGACTGTGGGTGGCAGGAGTTGGTGTGGTTCTGACACTGGCAGGGCCGGCAGCCAGTGCTGCTGAAGTAGAAGAACCCCGGGTGGCATTCGTCACATTTTGGTCCATACACTCCGGTCTTGCACACACATATCCCTGAGCTGAAAGAGGCAGAACATACAACACAATCAATAGAATAGATTTTTCAGTGTGATGTGATGTGAGCTGAGTGTGTTTGCTTTTGGAATGCCATCATGGCAGCTGATGTCCAGACTGTCATGGTGATTCCACACTTCCCACAGGTTCTCCAATCACCCATCTGCTTTCTATAACCTGTTCCAGGTATGAAGCATGTGGGAAGCACACTCATATCTTTCTCCCCCAATATGTTAGGCATGTGTAGCTCGGCCTGCTGCTCGTGTCCAGCAGCACACAATATAAAAACGCTATTCATAGTTTGGGCTTATTTAGATATTCATCTCTGAAATTGTTGCTGCTGACACACAAATGTAGTATTTGCTGATCGAAGCAATAATTAAATTATATTACAAAAGTTCTACATCGTTTTGTCTTTTAAAATACATTGTACAGTTCTATATGTTAGATAATACAAAAACTACAGTTTTTATTTAAATTACTTTTAGCAGACAAAAAATAGAGTCCATTGCCAACAGCATGCATCTGAAACAAATCAGATAGAGTTGCCGAGTGGAAATGCAGACGGACTGGAGCCAGACTCCAACATTCACACGTAATATATTCCTCACAATTGTAATTATGAAAATAAGTTGTGCAATTTCCCCAATAGCAATAGCAGCTGAGAGACACTGAACGTCCTGTGAAATGAACCATCTGTCTCACTGCTACTTTACCCAATGAAAGCCACTCCACCATTAATTAGCAGCTCCAGTGATTCAGCACACAATCATTAAAATAAATCCAGTATCAGTCGATCTATGAATAGAACCAAAACCAAGGAATTTTTTTTTTAGGCTTCATGTGTTTTACATAACAGTATGATTGGTATCAGATAAGAAAATATCAGTGGATAATGCTCCAGCAGTTAAATCCAATTACATTTTAGCTCTTCGGCAATAATACACACATGAATAACTTAGTGTCTTTTCCTGTTTGGATCTGCGCTCTCAGCATCCTTCGTAGCTGTCTGTTACTGCATGCTCATTCATACATGAGGGAATAGGGAGAGACTTTATTTCTTCCCAGTGAGAAATCATCCATGGCTCTCAGATCCCGCCCACACTCAAGGTAATTTCCTAGGAAAAGTGCAACGCTAAATAAAGCCTGATCAGCCCTCCAACCCAGACAATGGACTCAGAAACTTCATCTGAGGACAATAACTTCAAAACAATTGAAGTAAATCACAAGTGACTGGGAGCACTTTCCATGAGCGTGTGCGTGGGTCTTCATACAATCCGGGCTTTGTTAAAACAACTGCACTTAATGCAAATGAAGGGGCCCGGGGCCATGCTTAGTGGGGCGTGGGCCCTGCTAGGAATAAGGCTGGGAGATCAACAGTCCTCTTTCTTCCAGCTGAACACACACACACACACACAACAATAACAACAAATATGTGCATGCGGCATCATGACCCTAATGCTGTGGAGTCAGAGAGACAATTTCCAACGGTCACACAGAGTGAGAAAAAGTGCTGGATTTCAAAATGTCATCATAATCTAAAGACTGAAAATGATTGCGTCCTCAAAAGTCAATATTGTTGGCGGTGTAAGTCATGAGATCACACTGTCAGTTAGTAATATTCATCAGCATCAATGACAAAAAAAGACATACAATTCTACTAGAGTAAGATAAAAGGACACATTGGGTTTAAGAAATCCCATTGCAACATTTATTTGGATATTAAAATACTAAATATGTATATGTAATATTTGATAGACTGGCCTTTTGCATTTCCTTCACTCTCACTGCACCAAAGTCTTGCACTATAATACAAATACAATGATATTGCACAACCTGTAGAATACTTTCTTTTTCAACATGTTTAGTTATATATGTACATAAGTATATGTAAATCTTTTTTGTATTGGTATATACAGTATGTCCTATGTGTGTATTGTGTCAAGAGGCTACAACCTACATTTTATTGTGAAAACCTGTTTTGTAAAAGAAAAGAAAACACAATTTGACCCAACTGTTAATGCGTCTTCTGTGAATTCATTCAGAATCAGATGAATCTCAAATAAGAAACTGTTGGAGAATTATCTATACAGCAAATTAAATGTGCTACTAATCAAGAAACTGACATTCCTGACACAGTCCTGCTTAATGTTCTTAATCCACCAATATACTCAAGAGATTAAATATTAGATATTAATAAGATTAGATACGATAAAGAGTAATATTAGAGCTTTTATAAGTCATTGTTCGCCAGAACAAAACAGATGAACCTAGTTCTATGCATCCATTTTCAGGATGTGCTGCTCCTCTTGATGTTTTGTGAATTAACTGAAGGTCTTTGGGTCTCAAGTTGGGTTTTGGGAAATAAGAATTTGTTCACAAATAATTAATAAAGTAATGAAGAAAATATGTAGTAATCAAAATGACAGTGACAAATAAAGGAGTTTTGATTGTGATTATACTAGACTGTCCTGCCCCAGTAGTCAGTAATGCTGGTGGTCATCTGTGCCGTCTTGGGCTGGGGGGGGTGGGGGGGGGGGGGGGGGGGGCTGGGGTGTGGCTGTTATTGTTTTGGTGTGATTTCACTGGCCTGGCGCTCTGTGTCAGATGCTAAGTAGGTCACTGTGACATGAGCGATGAAGCTTAACCCCATTCTGCTGCCTGTCGGCTGCACCGAGTGGACGAGAGCAGACAGCAGGCATCATCTGAGCAACAGGAAGTGGTCACCACTTTAATGACCCAGAGGTGAGTGTCTGCTACACTCAGCAGGTTTAGTTGCATTGCTGGGTGTGAAAGGGTGTGCACGTCAGCAGAGCACATGTCAGCAGAGCATGATCCTCCTCCTCAACACAAGCATGGACACGTCCAGATATTCAGAGACATTCCTACTCATGTAGTCAGGTGAAATCGGTATGCCGTGTATTAACTGTCATTGTTAACTGTCATGGTTTTTTTTCCTTTTAACTGTACCAAAGGTCCGTACTGAACTGGGGAAAAGGGCGTTCAGTTACGCTGCCCCTCAAGCTTGGAACCTGCTTCAAACTGAGCTGAACTCAGAGAGCTGGTCTCATTAAACACACTCAAAGCAACTTTAACTGACCTTGAAGCAGGCCGCTGTGTCTGTAAATGCTTTGGCTAAACTTGGTGTATTGGTGTTGTGATTGTGTGTTTTTTTAATTGTCTGTAACTGTGCTGTTACCATTCTTGGGCCAGGACTCTCTTGAAAAAGAGATTTTTAATCTCAATGAGACCTATCCTGGTTAGGGGACCTATCATGCAAAATGCACTTTTGTACGTCTTTTATACATGAATATGTGTCCCCGGTGTGTCAGGGAACTCACCAAGTGTCAGAAAACACAACCCTCTCTATTTTCCTCCATACGCAAATCTCTAAAAACGGGGCTGCAACGGATCTGATACAGACTGATACAGATTTGAAATTGTTCTGACGTCAGAAACAGGGAGCTCCGCCTATATGGGCAACTCTCCACCTATCAGGGGAATGGGGGGTTGGGCCACGGCCATTGCCGCTCGAAAGCGCTGGAGACGCTGTAGTACATATGCCAGGCCTGTAAGTGGCGCTGTAGTCTGCCACAAAAGCAGCGAAGAAGACTTCTCACAGAATCAGCCCTTGCAAAAACAGGGCTGGAAAAGAGCAAATAGAGCGAAATGAGGTTTGGTATTTTGAAAAAAAAACTTCACAGACATGTTTTATATAGGTATGGCCCTACAATATATTATTCAAATATAGCATGATAGGTCCACTTTAAATAAAGGTAAAATATATAATGTTTGGGGAAACATCAAATATAGTGCATGTAACAGGGTTAGTGCGACTCAGGTTTGAGATGATTTAAAAATGCTAATGGGTTACTAAAACATTCAACTAGAAACAGGGGCGGACTTGGCCATCGGAACGAATCCCGATGGGCCGGTACTGAAGTGGGCCGGTCGGACGATGTGGGCCGGTCGGATAAGTCACTAGCACCCCGCCCCCGTTGACAATTTACTAGCGGTAATTACTTGCGGTACCGAAGTGGGCCGGTCGAGAGTCCCAGGCTGATTTGTAGTCCCAGTCCGCCCCTGACTAGAAACTACAAAGAAAATCTAAAAATCCAAAAGATTGTGAACAATGATAGTTTAACATCTCAGCCAGAATTGTTTTGGAGGTTCGCCGCTTAAAGGAATTTCTTTCTGTGTTGGCAGTGTAACCTGAAATGATTGAAAAATGAAATTATAAATGTGTCGGCCCTATCTCCCATCACAAACGAAGCTTAGCTCAAAGACTGGAGACTGCTAACTCAAACAAAAGTGAAAAAAACACTAGTTCCATCAAGTTGTTCAAGTTGGTTTTTTGTGAGCATAATGCCCACAAATCCACCCAAGAGTCAGTGGCTTTGGTTGGCCATGGAGTTGTAACAAACCAAACCAAGCCAACGTTCTGATACAAAGTTAGAGATGCAGATCCATTCACTGACAGAGCAGCTGAGGGCCAACAAATAGATCCAGGGGCCACTGCCTCCACCCGACGCTCCGACCACATCACCCCCATCCTCCACCACCTCCACTGGCTCCCCCCACCGCATTGACTTTAAACTATTACTTTTTGCCCTCAACAACCTTGCCCCCACACCTCAGTGACCTCATCAAACCACACACCCCCACCCGTCTCCTCAGGTCTGCTGACGCTTACCTACTGCAGCCCATCAGGACCAAGCTCTGGACCTGGGGGGACAGGACCTTTGCAGCAGCCCCCCTCCCTTTGGAAGGATTGTTTCAGACTCGTATGGATGTAATCATTTACAAAATTCACAACATGTTTTTATCCAACCAAATATTCTGCGTTAGTCGAAAAAAGTGTTTTCTCTCCCTCTTGCTGTAGAAAAAGGGAGGATTTTGTGTATTTGATTTTTTATGAGGGTCGTAAATGATGTTGACGTCTTTCCAAAACATGGATGTTAACAGGTGCTGATACTTTATATCTTGGTTTACCACTGAAAACAAG